TTATTCAAGTATGTTAATGTTTAAAAACTTTTGATAGGTTTGCCTGTTCAACATTTTTCATATGTGAAGAATATAGATCCAGGCTTGCCATTATTTTTGTTCAACTTCAGTGATAGAAAGCTTTACGGTATCTATGAGGCTGCAGGCTCTGGTCAAATGTATATCGATCAATATGCTTGGACGTCAGATGGTTCTTTCAAAACTCAATTTCCTGCGCAGGTTTGATATCGTCTTTCTTGTGGGGATTCTTTCCTTTGGTCAATGTCTCTGGTTTAGTCCCCAAAAAACAAAAACTCAAACTTTGCGGTTTCATTATGAAGGTTCAAATACGTGTACGGCTGCAATGTCAACCGCTGCTAGAAAGTCAGTTTAAGCCATTAATTATGGATAACTATTTTAGTCAGAACCATTTCTGGTATGAATTAGATCATGTTCAAGCTGGTAAATTGATTCCCAAGCTCTCCTCTCTTGCATATACTCCAAGTAGTAGCCCATCACAAAACTCAGCAAAACAGAGAAGTATAATTCTAGGTTTACCTGCCAATGACAAAAGAGAGGAAAATGAGTATTTTAAGTCACAGGACTTGGAAGATATTTTTGCCAACACATCTGGTTTGAAGGGGAAATTGGGGGCTAGAGACACTTCTCTACATTCAAATGGTATCCAGCAGCCAGATGATCAGGCAGAATTGGATGAGAAGGATCTTATATACATAAAACTTAAAGAATTGGCCCTTCAGCGGGAACTCTCAGGTGGCATTACAAATGGGCCTTCAGAGGAAACCACCAATGCTTTCGTTCCTCCGTCTATAAATGATGCAATCATTGGGCAAGAAACTTTGCAGGAAGAGCAGAATGTAGACTGCTCCTATGACTCAACTGGTTATCCATCTGTTATAGCTCAGGTTGTTCATCTGCCGATTTTTGTCCCCCACAGCAGCATCTTACCGCTTTACATGACTTGAGCTATTTTGTTCTTTTGTAGCTTCTTCAAGGAATAGAAGAACTGAAAGCTTTTAAGGAAGAGCACATTCATAAGGTGGATAATTTGGAGCGGAAGCTGGTAAACCTTATCTCTTTGCATTCTCGGTGTTATGGTGACATCTCTATTCTGTGCTAAAATTACTAGCCTTACTAATTTCTCTTTGCGAGTTACTAATAATGCTAGAACTTGCTCTATGTTGGATGTCTTTTGGTACTACGAGGAACCAAAAGATATATGTTTTTCCTCTTTCCCTTTGTTTTCTAGGAGGTGGGTGGTGAGAGGGCATGAGAAAATATACTGAAACCTTACTGTTCTTACAATAACGATAATCCATAAACAATGTAAAAGATGATACTAACTGATTGAGACTGTTAATGCTCATATTCGGTTCAGTGAGTTGTCATGCAAATGATTTAATACTCTCTATAAGAAACTAAAGGTTTGTTTCCTTGCTTAAAATAAGGTGAAACGACAGGAATATGCAATATCCTAGGATAGTCTTCAAGGTTCAGAGACTAAATGGAGCCAAATGCTTTTTTTTTGTGTGATGAAATAATGGGGCTAAATGGAGCGAAATATTTGGTTGACCATTATTTTTAAATTTGGATTGCTCCTAAAAAACTTTAGAAAAGAAGAACGAGTGAAACAGGGATGGATGTTTACTTTAGTTTATTAAGATGCTCTAAGTGGAATTCCAAGTATTTGGTTGATAACGGGTGAAGAACAGGAAATTTCTTAGATACATTATATCTTAGTGTTTTGATGTCATACACAGAGTTTGAATCGGCTGTACACTGGTTTTTTTACTGCAAAGAACAAATGGAGGGATAAAACACAACATGAGTAGTGTGGTTATAAACACATAGTTTGATATGTTTTGAAGTCCTAAATTAGTTTTTAAAATCATTGAACACAAAATACTTGAAATTGAGATTATCCACTGGGCTAACAAAATATTTGAAATAGGCTTGGGTTCGTGAAGGGGTATTACTTTTCTTCCCCAAGCACTCGTTATTGTTCTGGGATGGGAATATTAATTTAGTCTTTGTCCTACATGTTAGAAGAAAATCTTTTAGCTGAGAGCCTCCATATTAAAGAACTCTTATTGGTTTTTGTGAGACCAGATCTATAAATTCAACAGATTAGAACTGGTTATAATGATTGTTAGTATATCAAGAATATGAACCAATAGGAACGACATTGGGTTCGTAGTGTGTATGGCTGTAGCCAAAATGAAACAGAGGTGTAACTGAACGTGGCATTAAATGTTATATTCTTTGAGAATGACAGCAAGCAAATTCGGATTTCCAGAACTCCCAAAGTCTGTTTCTAGGATTTTAACTTCGTCCAATTTCATACCGTTTGGGTAAACATGCAGTTGTATATATAAAGGTAAGAAGTTAATACCTAGTAACTCTAGGTGGTTTGGAGTTTCAGGCTTACGCAGAACAAGAGATTACTCAGTTAAAATATAAATGTATGATGCTGGAATCCTCAAATACTGTTTGTGCACGTGCTGATGAAATAATGATTGACTGCAATGATGATGTACACCTGAAGCATGAGTCCATTTTCCTTACTGGAGGATATGATGGTGTATCATGGTTATCAGCTTTGGACTCGTATATGCCTTCACTTGATGTGTTAAAGTCACTTAAACCAATGAATTCAGTTCGTGCATATGCGTCAGTTGCAAAGCTGAGTGGAGAACTTTATGTATTTGGTGGTGGAACTGGAAGCTTGTGGTACGACACAGGTACAGTTTTGTACTTACTTCTCTGCCCACCCGTTATCCCCATATCTCTCTCAAGTTGCTGACAATGCTGAACTCTTTTCTTTTGAAGTTGAATCATATAACCCAGTTGATAATAAGTGGACTCAGTGCCCTTCTCTGAAACAGAAAAAGGGTAGCTTAGCTGGTGCTGCTTTGAAGGACAAAATATTTGTGCTTGGTGGTGGAAATGGGATTGAATGCTTTTCAGAGGTTGAAATGTATGATCCTGAAGTAGGACGATGGATGAATACACAATCCATGTTGCAGAAGGTTAACTCTTGTGATCCTGTTGTATTTTTTTTTATGTTCTGTTATCGTTTCCTTGGTAATAATAGTGTAAAGAGACAAAAAGCATCTGTAAAGCTAAAAGTTTGGGTTTTGTTGGGCCGGGCAAAAATAATTTGCAATGTGACAGATCATTTCAGTCAAAAATCTAAGTTTTGACCAGAATGCTGATTTGTATCACACTTTGAAAGTTATTCTCATCATTTTAGTTTTTATAGCAAATCTATATGAGTTAATCTTGTCCTTAATCTCCAAATCTTTTTGTCTCTTTGTTTAATCCTCTTGGCCTTATATTGAAGTAGTTTTAAGGATTTAAGAAAGTGTTGATAAGTAAGGTGGTAGAGGGTAAGAATTGGTTAAAATGTCGTATTTTGTTTTGTTTGTGTTATCCACAATAGCTAAGTCCATTGTGGGAAATATTTGCTAGCAAAGCTTGGAATTCCAGGACCTCCATCTGTCTTTAATTGGATTAGTTAGTGTCTGGAAGCATCTCATTTGTTTCAAGTCTTATGTTTTCTCCTTTGATGTGAATTTGTTTCCATGCATTGTATATTTGCAGAGATTTGCTCTTGCTGCAGCAGAAATCAATGGTGCATTATATGCTGTTGGTGGATATGATGGAAGCAATTACCTGGCGTAAGTTAGCACAATTAACGTTCTTTTTCTGATAATTCCCATGTCAGCCTCATTTTCTCAAACCATGAAGTATTGTTTTCCATGGTCTTCCCCAAGAAGTAGAGATTCTTGTACTTTTCCTACATCTACCTTCTTTTTTTATGCTACCTCTATGTATTTCTCGAGAAGTCTGCGAAACTGTTTTTGCTACATTAAGTATAGATTATCTGCATATGTAAAGCTGTTTGTAGTTCAACTTTTATGTTTTATTCTCCTGTGGCTTCTTTCTTACTAGCTATTACTTCAGGACTGCTGAAAGATTTGATCCCAGAGAACATTCCAGGACAAAAATTGCAAGTATGAACACAAAGAGAGGATGCCATGCGTTGGTTGCCTTGAGTGGAAAGTTGTACGTTCTTCTCCTTTTTTCTGTATTTTAGTGATGTTCACTGCCCTCAAGGGTAGATGTATATTGTATAAATCGTCATCTTTTTCCGGGGGGTGTTTTTTATCATGGTTTTCGCCATCTTCTACTAGGGTTAGTAAATACTCGTTATTTTTGTTTGACTTTGCGAGTGTTTTCATTTCGTTTAGCTTTACAATTGCCATGTAGATATGCAGTCGGTGGCTATGATGGATCTACAATGGTGCCAAGCATTGAGATATATGACCCCCGTCTGGAGACATGGATGATTGGAGAGCCAATGAACCATTCAAGGGGGTACTCAGCTGCTGCTGTTCTAAAGGAATCCATCTATGTAATTGGAGGGGTTCAATCCAATGAGGAGATAGTAGATACGGTATGTACCATCATCTCATGCTTAGTTTCTTGTATGTTCACACACACACATATATACATATATATTCTCCTGTTAGCTAACGCTCAAGTGTTGTGGATGCAGATTGAATGTTATAAGGAGGGTAAAGGTTGGCAAACACCTAACTTGAGGGCTATCGGGAAAAGGTGTTTTTCCTCGGCCATAGTTTTAGACGAATGCTGAACTCTGCTTCCGATATAAAGCTGATATGGAGCGGTAATTTCTTCTTAGAAACTTAGGCGTCCTTTGTCCAACAATTTTTATATCCATCATTTTGAATTTGTGGATAAGATCAGTATATGTAATTCTGCAGTTGTGTATAAGGTTAATACTTTTAGTTGAGGCTTGAAGGAATTTTCTGAACTTTTGAAAGTAGTAAAGTGGTTACTCTTGGAAAGAAAACAGAAAGTATTACATCTTGTAGAATCGAGTTCAGTTTAGATAGTATTGCTTATTATCTTTTATGTAGCTCTTTCTTCAGCAAAACTTCTTCAAAATAGGAGTAGTTGCTTTTATCTGAAATATCTGAAAGAAACGTGAACTATATCATGGATAGATATACTGCTATACCATGCTTCTTAAAACACAAGGAGAATGATCAATACAAGTGGGTTTGAGAAAATTAGAGTTTTGACTGTTTGCGAGGCATGGTTGTATCGTAAACCTTGAGAAAGAATCGGGTTCTGGGAATGGAAAACCTGTTGTGCAAAATGGTGCCAAGGGTAGCAATAAGGTTTCTCTTGACATCAGAGTCAATGCCACCCATGGATACAATCTCAGCAAATGCAGCTGGTTCCTTGTTCCCTCCAAATGATATGTCCAATGATCCTTTCAGTACGACCATCACATACTGCAAAAAGGCAAAAAGTAATTTCCCTCTTTATTCTACTATTCTATAAGTGTGAGTTAGCTGGCTCCTCTCCGTCAACATGCTTGCTTGCATAAGGATAGTTTTGTAATTTTATCATTTTTTTTCTTCTTTAACTTTGTTGCACTTGACTGCATTATATGTGTACTTCTGCATGCTATATCTTATTTGCATTGCGGGCCCCAAAAATTCTATCTTTTCCACATGTAACTTTGAAGACACGTACTACAAAAGCTGGGCCCATTTGACTCCATATTTCACACGTACTATTCATATGTCACCTCCAACTTCTCTCTCTCTCTTTTTTTTTTTTTTTTTTTTTGGCTACTCGTGCTCTCACTAGACTTTTAATTCATGCAAAACATTGTGAATTTATATGTTTAAATCAATTTTTATTTCTGTTTAAATTTTTATATCTTTTAATGAAAGATCTTAAGATTATTAGAAGAACTTTTTAGTGACTATAAATAAATTGTTGTTATAAATATATTATATTATGGATATTCATTTAGACTCCGTTGTAAATAAACTTCCTGAAGAAGCTTATCCATATGTGACTCCATCGTAAATATGTTTATCTATTTAAGTACTCTATTGGAAATAAGCTTCCTGAAGAAGCTTATCACTTCGATACCCGGTGGTAGAAGATTATCCATATCGGGTATAATAAGCTTATCCTTTCAGTACTCCGTTATGGATAAATATTGCTCTCAGTAGAAGATTATTCATATCTGGTATAGTAGAAGCTTACACAACGGCTTCCTTTCTTCTATAAATAGAAGAGATTTCAGTTCATTATGTATATCAGTTTGAATTCGAATAATATATCAGTTTTTCTCTATACTTGTTTTTACTTTATAGTCTTTATTTTATAACAATTGTATCATACTTGAAATATTTACAATATCCTTAAAATATATCTAAAGCAAAAAAGAAATATATTGAAATACACAGGGGGAAATAAACTTAAATCAATACATTAGAAATGTGCTTCAACAAATGATTAAACTAGGAGGAAACAACAGTGTCACGTCTTTCAGATCAAGATGTCGATCTACCCACCAAATTTAACAATGAAGTGCCACTCTTATCAAGAGCTTTCACCAATTTAGTTGCTTTTAAATGGAGTAACAAAACATTTTATGTAAATTATCTTATTAATGATTTTAAGTAATTTCAAAATATCTATTGATTGTTTGAAGATAAACTCAAACATAAGAGTATTTTTTTAATATTGGAACTAAAATTGCACTCCAACATTTAGAACCAAAAATATACGTATAGATACGGATTCTTCATATATTCAAATTTGATTTACTAAAAAGAAGAAGAGCATAGTCGATTTTTAAAAATAGTTCCTAAAGGGATAATTCTATTATCATATATAAAATCAACACGGCGAATTTAAATGGAGAAGGGAGTGACATTTAAGAATAATGTTAACAACAACACTAAGGAATCATTTGGACATAGATTTCCGAATATTTTTTGAAAAAGCTGATTTGGCTGAAGTTTGATTTGAAATCAAAATGTGTTTGGACATTAATTTTGGGGCAAATTTCGATATGTTAAAAGGTTATTTTTTTTATGAAAAAGTCCAAAATTGTCATGATTAGCCTAAAAGGAGGTCTTAAGCTATATTTAGAATTTGAAGTTTTGATTTTCAAAATCTCCTAAAACTAAATTAAATCTATAAACAAACACATTCTTGAAAAAAAATTGAAAAGAAAAACTTTCAAAATTTATGGCTAAATGCCAACTAAATAGTTGTTGGGCCCGAGCATAGCCCGGGACATACCGTTAAGTTATGTACACTGGTACTATAAAGGTTTTTCATACTACCGGTGAATAATATGTTATTGCAGGTAATTTGTCTTATCTTTTAAGTTAGTAGTCTCTCGTTTTATAAATAATTATTTGTAGTTATCTTTTATGTGGCATGACAGTATAAAAATTCTTCATTAGCTAATAAATGAAGCTATTCAAGAAGACTATTTAAAAATGAAGTTTAGAACATCCATATTTGAGACAAACCCTGCACATTAGAGGGTGCAATTATAAAAATATAAGTAAGAGAACTTCTTGAAGAAAACCTAATAATAGAAAACAAAAAGCAAATGCTTATAACTGTTATGCTATTAGGAATATTTGATTGTCTAGATAAACTTCCGATAGTGATATCTGGATAAGGAGAATAATTCACTTTTCCCAATCCTCTTCCTACATTGTACAATTAAATTAGCTAACGTGTACCTTTTTCATTATTAGTTTATTGATTAAGATATGTATCTCTATAACTACTTTAGTTGTCTACCATTTAGCCTTAAATTCAATAGTTTGAGCATCTCTCTTTCAACTCCGGTCTATGATGCGATATCTTATCAAAATAGAGTAAGGTGTATTTCTAATTATCTATTTATATAATAAAATAGCACGGTCTAACCAGTTTTCGGACTAGTCATTTAAAATAGCCAGCGTTTGCCAAGTCATTGAAAAATAGCTACTATTTTGTTGCAACAGAGACCGGTCCAGCATAATATACTAGAGTTTGGTGTATCTGTGCATGAACTTCCAGCATATTATATTAGACCGGTATACTTTACTGGCTGCAGTATAATATACTGGAGTTCCAGTATACTTTGCTGGAACTTCCGTATATTATACTGGAGTTCCAGCAAAGTATACTGGAACTCCAAACTCCAGTATAATATGCTGGAGTTCCAGCATAATTTGTTGTAACTCCAGTATAATATGCTGGAGTTCCAGCATAATTTGTTGTAACTCCAGTATAATATACTGGAATATTTTCCGGATTTTGAACAATATTTTCGTTCAGATTTTTCTTTACATGAAAAGTGGCTAAATTTCGATGACTTTTGAAACTGTGGCTATTTTTGAATGACCACTTGTAAATCTGGCTATTTTTGAATTTTTCCCATTTATATATGGCACTCCTTCCGTTTTATGTGAACCTAGTTATTTGATGGGCAAAGAGTTTTAAAAAAGAGCAAATTATGCTATATACCTATTCTACCCAAAATAATTACCCGCCTTTATCTATTCTAGAAAAAATTACAATATATACCTATGCAACCCAAAGAAATTCCCCGTTAATCCTTCTTCCCGTTTTGTTCTTGTTAAAGCTAATTTTTCTCCTCCTTTTTGCTTTCTTTCTCTTATCATTTTCTCTCCTCTTTCTCTTTCTTTCCTTTTGTCAATATTCCTATAATTTTTCATTAGATATATGATCTATCTACCTCTCTCTCCTATCTTTATCATTTGTCCCAGCAAAAAAAAAAAGCTAAAAAAGAAAGATCTATCAAAAAAGGATAAAAATTTCTAAGATTTCAGTTTGCTACAAATTTGTGAGGTTATGTACGTAATAACAAATTTTAATTGCCGACACTCTTTGTGACAAGTTTTGGTGTTAATAATGATTTTTTGAAGATTTAATTGTGACAAACATTAATCTGCCGTTGGAGGACCTTGAAGCTTGAAACTCATAAATTGGGTTTGTTGAGTTTGTGGTTATTTTGATCCGATCCTAATTGGGTATGTTCGAAATGTTAGTTGGAGGAAGTGGCTATATTTTGAGTCAATTTGTTGGAGATTTTAGACTAGATTTTTAAATTTTGGGTTGAAATTGAGTTGAACTAGCCAACAAGACAGATTTATATTGTATACCAAAATGGTATATTATATACTCTATTGGTATACAATAATTAATTCAAGAGTATATAATTAACTACAATAGTATACTACTAATTTTTTTGAAGGAATGAACCAATCCTCTATATACCAAAATAACATATTATATACCATTTTGGTTAATTCAATAATGTATAATTTATTGCGTTGAACTGACGAAGAAGAATTTGTATTGTATACTAAAATGATAGACCATATACCATTTTGGTATACAGTTCATTCCAATGATATACTATTATAGTATACTATATAATGTAATGGTATCCCATATTCTAGAGCAATCATATACTCTGTTGGTATATATGTATACCATATTCTAGTCATATGGTACTAGAAGTCTTTTTTGCTACTTATATTTTTATTGTATTTTTCAATATTTTATTATTATTTCTATCCTAACTAGTATATATGGAGATTTGGTGGCCGTGGATTATCTTTTCTTGCTCCATAACCGGTAATGTTATTACTAATAGTAGAGTGTGAACTGATATTTGTAGGGAAGGAGATCAAGGATTGCATGGCAATCACGTAGAATTAGAAAAGGAACAAGAAATAAAGAAAATAAATAAAAATATAAAATAAAGGAGTCAAATTTGAGTGTGAAATAAGTTACGGTAAAAATAACAATAATACAATCTGGGAAAAAATAAATGAATAAAAGAGAAAAAAGAAAAAAAAAAAAGAAGAAAACGAGAAAAAAGAAAAGGAGAAAAAAAAAAGAAAAAAGGAAAAAAGAAAAGAAGCATAGAAATAAAAAAGAATTGGAGAAAAAAGAGAAAATTCTCACAAAACTACTATGGGTAGGAAATGTAATTAGTTTGATGGGTAGGAAAACAAATGGGTAGATAAAGGTAAATAATTTTTTTTGTGGGTAACTATGTCATTCCCTCTTTTAAAAATAACTTTTAAAACTTGTGATCCTAAACACGTTATAATATTTGTGACTATAATTATTTTAAAACTTATGGTGTTAAACATGACATAGTATTTGTATGACTATAAGTTAAATTATTTTTAAATTTAAAAACAAATTATTCTTTTTTGAATAGACAAAATAAATAAATAAATAAATAAATAAATAAATAAATATAAATTGAAACCGAGAGAGTATTAGTGTAAAAACAATACTAGATAATAAGCGTGGCAATCCCAAGATCAACTAGAGTGGGATGTAATAAATTATATTACAACTACTACCACTATATATGTTATTTACGTTTTAATTCCAATAAGGTTTGGTGGGCTATATGAATCTTTACCGTCTATATCGCTTTACTTAAGCTCATCTTAGTTTAATATTATAAAAAGGGTGGTACCTAAAAGAACAAAGAGAAGACTGACGAGAGAAAAACTAGACAGCATACGAGAAGAAGCCATAGTTAATACACTGTGTATAACTCGAGTGTATACATATAGGGAGAGATGCGTTACGTTTTCGGGTTTGCCGAAGATGGAAGCAACAGCTGTGGTAGCTTCAGAGAAGAAAGCATCCATGTTGTCAACTCCATCCAGATTCACATTTGTAGAAACATAAAAGCATGGCATGATTAATTCTCCTCTCTTTTGAAGAAGACAATAGTGCTCTTCCTTAAAGTATATTACAACTTTCTTTAATTTTATTTTGTTTTTATAATTGAGTGAAGCTTACTAGTAATTTATAGGAGGAAAGTTAATTAGTTACGAATGGATTGCAACTAGCTTGCTGCATGTTTTTCTTGACATGCATCAAAGCAAAGAATGGGGGTTGGTCTTTCTTTAATTTCTTTTAATAACAAAAGATGCATGCAAGTGGAAATTAAGAGGACAGGGCACATGGTGGATGGTGGATATGTTATCACTGATTTCGTTCTAGAGACTATGACCGCATTTTGAGTACAAGTGGAGAAGAGAATACATATTTACATTGATGTGAAATTAGCTAGTCATCATTTTGTTATACAAGTGTTAGAGTAAATCACAGAAGTAAACAAGAGAAAATACATATATTCGAAGCTGCTATTTTTCATTCAGAATTTCAAACCCATATATAGGTACATAATAGAACATACCACTAAAGTAGGACTCATATATATTAGTCCATGATATACATAAATCAATTAACTCCTAATTCAACTAATTCCTAAAAATCAGAACAAACTTAGACTGACTCAAACTAAGAAATCTGTTAACTTCATCAAACTTCATTGCAGAGTGGAAAAGGAAAAGAGAAAAACCCTAGAGTTTCTGAAGAGTCTATGAAGAAAGAGAAAGAGAAATTCATTTCTTATTGTCTAGAATGTTCTGCCGTGTTATTACAAAATATCTCAATATATGTAAAAACACAAAATGAAAGAATGCTGAAACTTAAGAATAAAACTATTTCCAAAGTATGGGCTTCTGTTAAGTGTTGGCAGTGTGGGCTTATGTTGGGCCGTTACATTGGGCCTGGTTAACAAAATCATAACTCATAAAGACAATCAAACTTCAGTTTCTTGAGCTCTTCCATAGTGCCAATGCCCATCAACTTTCTAAGATTTTGGAAAGGCAGAAATCTGAGAGGTCTGGTGAAAATATTCGCCAGTTGGTTTTCACTTCAACAAGGTTGTAATTTTATTGTCCCTTTATTGTTGAAATCGCGCTGAAAGTAATACTTCACGTTAATGTGCTTGCTTCTTTCATGTTGCAGATGATTCTATGATACCTTAATTTGCGCGGACTCTTCGATTTCGGTGTCGTCCCCATCCTGATACGAGACGGGAACGGGAGCGGAAGCGGAATACGTCCCGAATACGGTCAACTGACTTCGGACACTTTCACCGGAGTCCATCGACAAATTTGGGAGAAAAATTGAGATTTTGATTTCTCAAAATAAAAAATAAAACAGATTTAGGAGAATGAAAGAATAATGTCCATCTTGGAGAATGAAAGATTGAATTCTACAATATTCATGTATGTTTTTCACAGAATATCTCTCAAAATTTACAATATTTTTATAGATCTATTTTTTATTAGCCGAATCCCCGCATCCGTATGCATATCCAGATCCACACCCTCAAATCTTAAAATTTAGATTTTGCTGAATCCAATACTCGGATCCGTCCCCGTATTGGATACCCGCACCCGAGTCCGAGCAACTTAGATGATAACTTGATGGCAGAATTGTTGTCACAAAAGATTGTAGTGGCTCTTCCTTGCTCGAACTGTAGCTCTTCAAGCATTATCCTAAGCCAAGTAACTCGACAAGCACTAGCTATAGCGGCAATAAAGTTAGCTTCTATACCTGATAATGTAACAATACTCTACTTCTTGGAAGGCCACGACAATACTCTTGTGGCTAGCATAGACATAACCTGAAGTACTCTTTCTATCATCTTGATCTCTGGTATAATCACTATCAGTAAAGCCAGTCAAATATGAAATTACTCCCTTATTGTAAAAAAATCTAAAATCCTTGGTTCCTTGTATAACGGAGAATTCTCTTTGCAACTAGCAGATGCATCTCAGATGGGTTCTCCATTATAAGATCACTGCATAAATGTCTGGTCTTGTGGTAGTTTGATATATTAAACTACCCATAATTTGCTTGTAAATACTATCCACCCTTCTTTTAATTCCAGCTTTGCTTAGTTTCAAGCCAAACTCAACGGGAGTTTTGGTGGCATTGCAGTTTCAAAATTTTCGCACATACTTATTTTGAGAAACAAATATTCCATCATAAGAAATGCACCACTTCTAAACTAAGAAAGTAATGCATCAGTTCATTGCGGCGCGCACAACCCAATCCAAATAATAAATGACATCACGGCTCTCAAGCTCACATCAAAATCTCAGTAACCGAAACAAATCAATAATCATCTCTCCCACAGCCCACATTAACCAGAAACCCGTCAGTTTCTCATAATCCGCATGTACACCATTCAAGAGAAAAACATGAGAGGGTGACCCTAGGGGGATGGATCCATATCTACACGCTACATGGATGCACGTGCTGCACGGACAACTCACGTGCTAGTAATATCAACCGCACGGACAACTCACGTGCTGCACGGATAACTCACGTGCTGCACGAATAACTCACGTGTTGTACGAACAACTCATGTGTTGCATGTACAACTCACATGACAATAATATCAATATTTAGATTCGCACGGGCAACTCATGTGTTGCGCAAATAACTCAACAACAATAAAAAATCCAGTATATTTCCATAAGCGGGGTCTGGGGAGGGTAGTGTGTATGCAGACCTTACCCCTACCTAGCGAAGGTAGAGAGGCTGTTTCCAATAGACCCTCGGCTTAGAAAAAGTGAGAAGAAGAATAAGGGGAAGAAGAGGAAGAAGACAAGGGGGAAGAAGAGGAAGAAGACGAGGAAGGAAGAAGAAAAAGAAAGAGAAAAGGGAAAGGGGGGGGGGGTTAGTAGTACTAAACACTAACAACAAGCAAACTGAATCACATGATGAAGTAACGATCTACTTAAGAACATGCAGGAACCTGAATGCTACTAAAGTAACTGGTAAGAAAAGGAGAAACTTACAATTACCTACTAACCTTCTACCCTAATCTTCGACCTTCATAGCTTCCTATCAAGGGTCATGTCATCACTAAGTTGAAACCATGACATATCATATCTAATCACCTCTCCCCAATACTTCCTTGGCCTACCTTGACCTCTTCTCAAACCCGTCATAGTCAGCCTTTCACATCTCCTGATAGGAGCATCAATGCTTCTCCTCTTTACGTGCTCGAACCATCTCAACCTCGACTCCCGCAGCTTGTCCTCCACGGAGGCCACTCTCACTTTGTCCCGAATAGATTCATTCCTAATCTTATCTCTCCTGGTATACCCACTCATCCATCTCAACATCCTCATTTCTGTTACTTTCATCTTCTGCACATGTGAGTTCTTAATTGGCCAACACTCCACCCCATATAGCATAGTTGGTCGGACCACCACTTTGTAAAATTTACCTTTAAGTCTTGGCGGCACATTCCTATCACATAAGACACTAGACACAAGCCTCTTTTTTCATCCATCCTATACCAATACAATGTGCGACATCCTCGTCAATCTCCCGTTGCCCTAGATAATAGACCCTAGATACTTGAAACTACTTTTCTTGGGGATAACTTGAGTATCAAGCTTCACATCCACGTGTGACTCATGAGCCCCATCACTGAATTTTCACTCTAAATATTCTGTTTTAGTCCTGCTCAACTTGAAACCTTTAGAATCCAAGGTTTGCCTCCAAACCTCCAACCTTGCATTGACCCTACTTTGCATCTCGTCGATCAACACTATATATCGGCAAATAGCATGCACCATGGCATTTCCCCATGTATGTGCCGCGTCAGCACGTCCATCGTCAAGGCAAATAAAAACAGGCTTAGAGTCGATCCCTAGTGCAACCCCATCACAACTGGAAGATGTGTCGAGTCCCCTCCTACCGTCTTCACCCGAGTCTTAGCACCATCGTACATATCCTTAATCACCCTCGTGTACGCCACTGGAACACAGCTAACCTCCAGACACCTCTATAAAACTTCCCTCAGCACTTTATCGTACGCCTTTTCAAGGTCGATAAACACCATATGCAAGTCTTTTTTTCTTTCCCTATACTGCTCCACTAATCTCCTCATCAGATGAATATCTTCCGTAGTCGAGCGCCCCGACATGAATCCGAACTGGTTCTCGAAAATAGGCATGCTCCTCCTTGTCCTGACTTTCATCACCTTCTCCCAAATCTTCATAGTGTGGCTCAACAGCTTTATACCCCTATAATTATTGCAATTTTGGATATCACTCTTGTTCTTGTACAAAGGAACCATTAAATGACATTAAATAACCTAGTGAGCTACTCCAAGCCTACTCGACCCGCCTTCTTCCAAAACTCCATTGGGATTTCGTTTGGCCCTGTCGATGTGCCCTACTCATCTTGCATATAGATCCTTCCACCTCCTTCACATTAATATGCCTACAATACCCAAAATCCTGCTAATGCTCGGAGTGCTCCAACTCACCCAGCACAATACTTCTATCCCCTTCCTTGTTCAATAGTCTATGGAAGTACGTCTGCCATATGTGTCTAATACGTGCCTCGTCCATCAATACTTTGACGTCCTTGTCTTTAATACACTTCACCTGGTCCACGTTACGAGCCTTCCTCTCCCTCACCTTGGCAAACCGATACAACTTCTTGTCTCCGCCTTTGCTCTAGAGTTCCTCGTATATACGCCCAAACGTTGTGGTCTTAACCGCTGTGACCACTAATTTCGCCTCCTTTCTTGCCTTCTTATAACACTCCTGATACATTGTTTTTCCTCCTTGTATGTACTCTCTACTAGGTTCAGATAATCCGCTTTCTTTTCTTCCACTTTACCTTAGACCTCTCCATTCAACCACTAGTCCTATTTGTCGCCCCCAAGATAGCCCTTCGTAATCCCTAAGACCTCTATTGCAGCTTCCCTAATGCAATTTGCAGTCGCAACCCATATACTAGTTGCATCTCCCTACTCTCCCTGGCCATCACAGCCAACAACCTCTCTCCCAACTCCTGAGATTTTTCCTTA